TTATGTATTTTACGTGATAAAGTGAATAAAAATTTCTATTAGCGTTCTTGGAAATGCTTTCCAAAGTAACTATACCACGCGGAAGAATTGTAATTTGTTAAAAATGTGACAGTGTCATCACAAAATATATGGCATAGATATTTTGCTATGAAGTCTTTTGCTGCCTTTCTTTACATATTACTAGACACGTCATTCTTGCAGGGCTATTCTGTTTTAACAACCACCTCGATTTCGTTGTTCGATCGAACCTCTATTTCAAAAGGTAATAAAGGTTTTATTCCGTTGAAGCTCTATGATCTGACAGCGCTGTGCTCGACGTCAATGTTATGAATTTTTACATAAGAGAATAGCATTTATGATTGTGTTATAAAATTACCATATGAAGAAGACATTAGAGAAAATTATTACCTATGTGCTTAACTTGTGTGCCACGTCATTGTGACTGGAATTATATGAATTAACCTACGTTAATTCGCAAGGGGTAATATTTGGATTAATAGCAATTCAACCTTTGCAGTCATTCTGCACATGACTGAACTACTCCGAATAAAAACGTATAAACTGTGGAGTCATTGTGGCGTGATATGTACTCCCAGCCAGCAACCGATATTGTATGTTGCCGCACGCTCTACTCGAACAAATACTCGTACAGGTAAAGAGATCGAATTGCCGCTGGGCCATAGCTTTTTACGCTCAATGGCGCGCTTTTACACTTTATTTTATAGTTACTATACTTTATTTTATAGTTACTATAAAATAAAGTGTAAAAACGCGCTTAGTTACTGTGACAATGTAGCCTGTATAGCAAGGTAGTAGAATATAATTGATAATAATTAATTTGAAAAAGCTAATCCAATACAATTTATTGGTATCATTAGAAGTAAGACAAATCAATCAATCATCTCAAAAAACATGTAAGAAAAAAATGTAAAGCAGGATATTTAATTTTTCACTACAAATATAAACAAAATCTTGGTTTTGAGTCAAATCATTGGTATCAGTTGCCAAATTGGTGATGTTGACAAAGGCTACAGAAGGCCAGGTGAGGACTGCCGCTGCTGTTTAGACTTGGCCGCTGGTGGTGTCCATCTCGAACGCTAAAGCAGTTAAAGCGATGTAAACGCATTTTGCGACACATTTGAAATACTCCAACGGAGTCTCTTTATATATAATTACGTATAAACATTCATTTATTTTCGAAACTGTTTGTCGCCTTAACTATTGTACTAACCGTTGGTATCATAGACTGTCTACATTTGCTTGCACCTCGTTCCATGCGCTCTGCCCGCTGTCGTTGCGACCGCTGCTCTAATGATAAAAGGCTGAAAAGTGCTTTAGGCGATGCGCTAGGCGGCTTCATTTCGTATGCTCTCCACCCGTCTATTGTAAGCGTTTTAGTTATACCTACTTACTCTATTTATGTTGTTATGGGTGTTAAAGGATGGGCGTCAAGACAAAAAGACAATGAAACGGAATTAACACGCTTGTCAATTAAATAGGTACAGACAAAAGTAAGTTAAAAGCTGTTTATTTAATTTCTCGCAAACCTTTGCGATTATTTAAACGTTTTGTACAAAATCAATTGAAGCTTCCAGTGATTTTTGAATTTGTTTGCAAATTTTGTTTACATAATAAGCCTCATTGGATCAAAGGATGTTTTTAATATTTTTCAAATATGTTTTTAATATTTTAACAAAATGATGAATTTTAGGGGTAACTTAGTAATTTTCTTCTACTTAAACATTTTTGTTTATTCGCGTGTTAGTTGTGACAGAATTTAAAACATTTATTAAGTTTTCTTTTTTTTGTAATAACTTATTTAGATTTTAGATCGTTGTAAACACCTCTCAGTTGGTGATATTGGTGTACGCGCCCTCTTAAACTATTTAAGTTTGACGAGTAAAAATTACTATTCTAATATTGTTCAAGTGTGTGTCTAACTCCGTTTCAAATATTAAATATTATAAACCGTTCCAGACTTACAAATTTTATTGAAATTTATAGCCATATTTGTTTTATTTTTTTAATTTAAGCCCAATAGTCATCTAGCGATTGATTTTTTATCGTACTTTGGAAATTACCTAAAAATATTTATATGTCATATGGTGTAGTTTATTCAAATTTATTTTTATTTTCTAATACTACCCGGATAGCCTAAAATTAGCAGAGTGAAATCTTTCAAACGAATAAATAAAAATTCGATCTTTCATAAAAATCCAAGCCTTGATTTATTAAAAAAATTGAAAGGACTTTCTCTACCAAGGAGGGCATTTTCATTAATGTCCAGTCAATCTACTAAAACAGTCGAAAGAAATTTACAAATATTAGATCCGATCTAGCGTATCTGTGTTTTTTTTTTAATTACTAAGCATTTTTCTCAAAAAGAGAATTGTTATTCAAAATTGATGTAATGTAAAGAAAGGGTCAGATTGAAGAATCTTTATATGTCTACTCATTACGAATGCTATTTAGAGACTCACAAATGTTATGGTCGTTCTGAATATACCTTTATATTTAGCTCGAGGCACAAGCATAAACTATTGATAAAAGGAAGGGGCGTATAATCGCCGCTAGCGTCCCCGTCGGCATCACGCCGTCGAGCAGCTATATCAAACCGTCCTTGATCGAAAATACTCCATTTGCTATATCGAATAAACAGTTAGATCAATTTAAACATATTTTATAAATATATGTGTATTTATTATTAAATAATTTAGTACGAAAGTATTTTCATACTGTAAAATTTATTTTCACAAAGTCAAAATTACTTTTATTCAAATACTTTTAAATCGTTTATAATAAAATGGTTTTTAGTTTAACTAAAGCGTTGTTGTAGAAACTTTGTAGAAAATAAATTGTTAAGTATAATACAAGACTTTGTAAGTATGATATATATATGGGTAGATATAGATATATATACAGATCAAACATAATCCAAGTATTATAAATAATATTATATATAAAATAAAAATAAAAAAGCAAGCATTATCAATTCAGTATGTCCGGCAATGTCATTGGTGTCTATTACAATATATTACTTAAACAATTTGTTCGGACCCGAAACTTTTCATAATGTATCCTAAAATAACATTTATAAAATTATTTATTAAATACAAATAAATTACGGGTACGTTCAAATAGACTTTATTTTAAATGAGATTATTTCTCGTTTTGTCATATTATGATGTGAATTTATAAACATTTTCGGCAACAAAATATCACAAAGTACGTTTTTTTTAAAGTTAGGGTCTAAATTAACCATGTTTTTATGTGTATGTTTTTATTTTACTCGCAATTAAAATCACTTATTGATAAATAATATGAGTCACTTTGATGTTACACAGCGCGAGCAAGTTCTATTTAATATTCAAGTAACATATTAGATAAACTATTACATTGAATTTCTTTTTCTTACCTGGAAAATATTATTATGAAAAATGTTTAAAATATTCACTTTGCCCCTGGTACTCTGAGATGGTGTAGGATTTTTTTATTAAAAATTAAATAAATTTAACAACTCCCTCGATTTATACAAATAAATAACGACATTAAATATTTTTTTTTTTTGTAAAGTTTCGCAAAGTCTTGAAACTAATTAAGAAGCTACAAGAAACCTTAAAATTAATCATAGGGGGACGCTTCTCCAAAATCAAATACCTACTTAACAACTGTCACTGCTGGAATTTTGTTTTAAACCAAGTACCTAGTTGCTCACGTCGGCATTGGAGATGTCGTTGAGCCAGCAATCAGCCTAGGGCAAATTTAAAATGAAACCAGACAGGTTGAGTGTGTGCGTGATGACTACGCGCCTCGGGGATAAGCTACCGAAGAACCTATGTACCTACATGCGCTAATTTCAACGAGAAACCAAACTCTGTTCGTAAAAATATTTAAGTACCAACATATTATAATGACATTATCCTGAATGAAGAATTGTATTCTTTGTAATTTTGAATATTCGTAATAGTTCAAATAGAAGAACGTTCCTGGAAAATAAGAAAAATGAGAACCTGCATCAAAATATGATTTCCTGATTTGTGTTATGTATAATGAGAACACTATAAACATTTCTGATGTAAAACTATGTCGTCAATACCATGTTATCTTACTAAACGTTTATTATGGAAAGGGTTTTACTTTAAATAACCCCAATTTAACTTAATAAACTAAATTATTAAATATACTGAGTTTAAATAATAACGTTGCCTTAACATAAAATGTTTTATTATTTCTCGAATATAATAAGTATTTTTGATTTATTTAATTCACCAGGAAAAGGTCTAAGAGGATAAATTTACATGCCCATACTGGATTGTTATCAATGTACTTTAATGTTAGTTTGTAAAGCCAAAGGGAGCTTTTTTCTTTACAAAAAAAAAGCTTAAATCAAGCAGATGAATACAAGTTAGGTGTGAAGGGAGCGAGATAGGTTGTCACTACTTCAATGACGCTGACGACGCATTCAAAAGATAAAAATAATTGAAGTCGGACATGGTCCGGCCCAGAACTGTGTAGTATACGATTCCTAGTTGTCCACGATTTTAATCCTTAGCAAGTGGTAATAAAGACTAGCACAAAAACTTTACAGTCAGACACGTTTTTGAATAGACTGCTAGAAGACGAATGAAAAGATTCATTTACGGATCTTGTTTCATTTCATATCATGTTTCGTTCTAGTTAGCAGAAAATATTAAAAAGTTTATATGATTGTAGTAACTTATAAGCTATGGAAATATGACTCTTAATAAAGGGGATGTTTAATGTCTTTAAGCACATACATTGTAAATCTTATAAATCTAACTCATAAAACTACTAGCTTTTCTACTACTAGCTTTGCCGTCAGCGGTTTCGCTTACGTGATCTCTAGAGTACTTCATTCTAGCAAACTTCTACTATTATTATTCTGCATTTCAATACACACTTAATATTATTCAGTAACATTTTAGTTCTAATATGATACTAGCCGAAATAATTTTTTGGTAACAATGTTTCAGTTCAAAATGTTACCTGTTACAAAGCCAGGAAGTCCACAGCCCGATGGCAGTTCGATGGAAAAGCCTCCCATCGCGGGTATACCTCGAGTCGCACCGACAACCAAATTCAACGCACCTGTTCACATAGACGTCGGTGGCACCATATACACATCCTCGTTGGAAACATTAACAGCGTAAGTCTAAAAAATATTAATATATTTATTGATTAATAGCTGTTTTTTTGAAAAGCTCGATGGTGCGTTTGATAAGTGATGCGGAAGTTAAGCAAATTTCGCAACGATCTTAGAATGGTATCAAAAATTTATATACTCTTATTCCGCCATGCTTCGATAGGCACGCTAAGTCGTTAGTCCCGACCATCCATAGGGAAGATTTGTTCCGCAGCAGAGGGGTGGTGGTTATGACTGGTGATGATGACTAGCTATTTAAATTATAGCCTATGTCACCCGTGTCGTGTATGACATAGCTTGCCATAGTTAAATTTTTTTTTATCGGTTAAGTAATTTCGGAGCCTATTTGACGCAAACAAAAAATATTTCCTCTTTCTAATATTAATATAGGCAGCCATCGTCAGGCCCGGATCTTAGAGAGTCAAACAAGGCACTTGTGTCAGGCAGCAGTTCTAATGCTTAGCACAAAAATTATAAAATATGACCGTAAAAAATGTTGGCGATTTGAACGTTCGAGTAGTTAGGGAAACTTATTATTTTAAGAAATCGAAAAACTTAAATAATGTTAAAGTAAGTTTATCACATCCCGTAAAAATTCTAATTTTATCTACATAAGTATTTGGATGTGTCATATATAATACACAATTCTAACTTATTGCTGTTTGACCATTAGTAAAACTAATATAAAAAAACTACAATACTACTAATATTTCTTTATAGATAAATGCATATCAGGTATCAGACTAAGGTAAGAAAACTAGGAGCATCACTAAAGTTAGTCCTATTTATAACTCATACTCGTATATATATTACAACGTGAGTGAGAGATTTTTCTTTTCATTTTATTTAACTATACAAAATGCAAGAGTAGCTTAAAGTTGTTTTTGTGTGTGCCTCATGTCTTATCTGGGTGGCTGATGCCTGGCGGCAGTGCCGCAGGGCAGAACGGCACCGCCCGCCAGTCGCAATGCGCCCATTCCCTTCGCTCTTTTAATCGGCACACTTGGGGGCACGAAAATAAATATCTTGCGAATTGTATGCACAGTTCGCTTCGGATTTCATTAAATTTTTGCCAACATGAAAATGATGCGTTATCTTCTTATTATACGATGTGTTGTAATAATAAATCACGTTTGTGAGTAAAGTAGATATGTACAGAATAAAATGTATCGTATATAAACTCCGATATTAATTAAACGAACGAAACGACTAGTTCTGTTAATTAAAATGACGGAAACAAGTTCTTGCAGTCCTCAACAAAAAATAAAAAAGGGAATATGCACCGAGGTTTACAGCAAGGAATAAAATATTCTAAAAGTTTGTTGGATTGGATGAATCATTTGAAAATATTTCTGTTATTTAATTTTATTTCTGTGACCGTTGTTTGATGGAAAAGCTCGAATGCCCCAAGGTAGTTATTTTATATGATAAAGAATGTGTATAGGTATAGTATAAACGAAGTATTGAGGCTATGCATAAATAGAAAACGACACAATATTAAACGCCCAGTTAACAAAGTAATACATGATGACACATTTTCAAGAAAAAGATGGTTGAAACCTATTTGTAATTAACAACTAGAAAACCATTACAATTGTAATAAAATATCGCAATCCCTAGTCTCAGTCACAAATTAATTCACGCGACTGTCAATTTTTAGAGTCTAATCAGGCACTTTAATAAATGAGCAAATGGTGAATTTAAGAATGTTAGTTGCACAACCGTCCATAAAGATTTAATGTCGCCTTTAAACTCTAATGACTCGTTTATGAAATTGGCAGAAAGAGCTTAATTTTAGTTTATTTATTTTTCAAAATTATCAGACAGTTGGCTGCATTTGCTTTAGTGGTCTTTTTAAATTCCATTTTAAAGCTATTGGTTTCTTTCCCATATTGTATTCATGATTTAGAAAATGTATAATAGCTATCTAAGGCTTCGAAATGTTTCGTTTCTGATCCCAAGAGTATCGAATATTTCTAAACAGGAACATGCGATTTGAAAGGTTAAATATTTAAATAATATGCATACCTAACTAAACATTAAATTAAAAAGTAATTATTTTTAGCGTAGTGAAAGGGACTTTTTCTAAATTTTACACAAGGTAAAGTTTTAAAATAATATTGTGTATTGTATGAAGCATATGCACCTAGATAAATAATAATTTAAAATCAATTTTTTGCTATATTTTGGACCAGATATTGTATAGACAAACTGATATGCCTAAAAAAAAATAATTATAAGAATCTGAAGCTGGAGGTGCTGTATGCTGAAAGACGGATTATCAACTCAGTTCTACGGCAGATGCTAATAGGTTACCTCCAGATGCAATAAAATAATTTCGTCGTTCAATTAATAAATACGTATTATTACAAAACAAATGACACCAAATACTGCAGGATCCTATTGTCCAAATTTTTCTGGGCGACCTTTTAGTTCCATCATCAGACTCTGGATATTATCTTGAACCAAGTCCATTGATTTGCTATGTTTAATTACGGAGATGCCATTACCAACTTCATCATCATTAATGCAAATTTACTCAATCGATAAACATGAGAGTAAATATCTTAAAATAAAAAATGCTTAAAAATTTACCAGCATCCAATAAAATATGAGTTTTATTTAAACAAAAAGGTTTGCCTTTTCCATTAATTAATATGTTGAGACCCTTAAAATGTAGGGTGTTGAAACTCCTTATATGTCATTGAATGAGATTTCATTTCTTTATCGAAGTTACAATTCAAGAATCCATTTTTCAAGGTGGCTGCGAGTAAAATAAAAACTTTATATGTTTCGAGCTTGAAATTTTTATTTTTTTTGTGCACAGGTATCCGGATTCCAGGCTCGGTAAGATGTTCAACGGCACTATACCTATCGTCTTGGATACCCTCAAGCAGCATTATTTCATAGACAGGGACGGAGGCATGTTTCGTCACATTCTTAACTTCTTGCGGAACAAGAAGCTACTGCTGCCTGCGGACTTTCCTTATTTGGACTTACTAATACACGAAGCTCATTATTTTGAACTTGACCGTGAGTAGAATTAGCTACCGTACCTACATACAGACTCGTTGGCGCAGTGGTTAGCGTGTTCTGACTGCATGTAATCTCTAAGACGGAAGATAAGCTAATTTTTCATTTGCTGGAAGGATTGGTCATAGGATGGGTGTAGTAAAAAATGGCCTTTACAGTGGTTGACGCTTACGGTTGTCTTTTATATTTACGCCACGATTGATGTAAGACCGAGATAAATTTAAGTTTTCTCGTTGCATCAGAGGCATTGGGTAAAACTCATTTACCCAATAATGACTGTTTTTCTTTACTAAGTTGCTTATATTTTTAATTGTGATTATACATCTATCATATAACATATTGCAGATATGGTCTTTGCCTTAACAAAATTGAAAACCGAACGCGACGGAGTGAAACAGGATCGCGATTGGTTGAGTCAAGCCACAGAGCGTTTGAAACAAGAGACAGAACTGCTAATGCAAGAGAGAGATAGACTGCAACAGAGGTGGTCGTGAAGTGAAGTAAGTGATAATATGATACTACAAATTGAATACTATTAGGAAATCTTTGAATCTCGATCGAAATTTCGTTTACTACTGGGTGTATGAAGAATCTAAGTTTTAATTTAAATTGCATATCTGAAATAACAGTCCAGAATATTTTTTTTCAATAAATAGAATCGACTTCAAGCTTCAAAAAGTAAGAAATATTTATCTTAAAAGCGACTTCATTATACAAGAAACTGCTATTGAAGCTATCTTATGCTATATAGGTTATCATCTAATAATGTACAGAAATCCTACGTCCGACTTTAAAGTCCACTTCGTCGTAATTCTTTATAAGTCCAAAATACGTAATAATCTTAAAACGGTCAATATCGGCCTTATTACAAGAGCCAGCTTTAATTTTTAATTTTTTTTTATTTAGGCAGCCAATTTAGAGAGCAAAGAAGCAGCTGGAGCGAAAAAGCGTCGTTTATAAAACAGAGATTGTATGTGATAAGTGACATTAAAGTGTAATGTGTATATAACTTAAAATGAATTTCATCTGAATAGTTTTAAATTAGTAAATGAAACATAATAAATCGTATTAATTCGTTACATAACTGTATGTAGATTTTTTTAATATAATCAATGATTATAGGAAATTACTGTTAAAATAGCACCCTAGTCTAATACGCGTGTAATTTAATATATTTATAGCTAATGCAAAGAAAGAACTAAAATATGTTATAAACTGTTATGTTATTAAATTGCAGACTGCAGCAGTCTTATTATAAAACGAAGAACAAAGTATGTACTTGCTTTAAACTACTGAACTACGACAATAACATAAGAGAAAACGTCAAATTGAGAAGTATTGATTTTTTTTAGTAGGATAATGGTTTAAAATTGGTACTAAAGTTAGACTTCGTTTTATAATAAAACTTTTTAGGAATAATTAAAGAAACGATTGCCGATTTGTATCCTTTTCTATTATCTCGTAAATAGTTTAGTGTTGACTGTCTTAAAGCCATCAAAATTCAAGTTGAATTCATTTTTAAAATAAAACTATTTTAATATTTCTAAGAAATAAGTATTCGAATAAAATTAGAAACAAATTTTTGTAATTATCATTACAATAAAAATTATAGATAGATATAAAGTTGTATTTAATAATTGGATAATAATCTGTAAAAGCCAATGTTTAAGCAATATTTATATGTAAGTGTAATAACCAAAATAGCAAAAGTTATATAATGTAATTTTCAGAAATAATCATTTGTATGCTATTTCTTTCACTTTATAAATCTGTAGTGTGTTTCTAGGGCAGGCATAAAACAATGAATGTTATACATAGATATGTGAGCGTTTGAAGAATACAATATGTATCGCTATGCATAGACTTCTTTTGTTTCTATAATTTACAATTTTAATGAATGCCGTGTTCGAGGTTAATATAATAAAAGAGGAAAATAGTCTTTATGAACGAGATCGGATTTTTTAACTCGCACATTTCGTAGCAAGGAGTCCAGTTTTTGCTATTGATGAATAATTATTATACAACTGATAAAAATAATAAGATCCAGTAGGTTAAAGAAGGGTTAGGAAACTTTGCTTTATATAGGTAGTTAAATAAAGTGGCGTTTTTGCTTTTAACAGCCGTTGTGGTACTTTTTTTATTGAATTAATTAATATATCTGTTATTCGTTGATGAATGAGTATTGTTTTATTAATGAGTTAGTATCAATAACGTTTTAAATATTTATAATAAAAGAAGACGGTACCTAAGTTATAAAGCATTTTATTTCATAATAAAAAAAACATAATATCAACATAATATGTTTGCAGAATTCGAGAGACTTTATTTGCAGTTTCTCCGTGCCTTATGGATGTACAGATTTTTAGAAATTATTATAAGTATTGATTCAATAAATGTTCGATTCTCAGAAACAATGTAATATTCTATTAATATTATAGCTACAAAAAGTAAAAAAAAGAAGTTTTGAGACAAACTTGATTATAAATATTAATGTATTCATGAAGCTATTAATAAGATTGCCTTGCATAAAAAATACAATCAAATAAGATACCACTGAGAGTACCCATATTGCACCATTCTGGTTGGATACTGATTGGCGGATGTTAAAGATATTTGTTGATAAGTGGCAGTCCAGCGGAGATCACGGATTTCCTGAAAAGTTCATTTTTAGGTTTACACAAAAACTATGTAAGCTTATAGAGTAAAGCAACTCATTATCATAAAAATTCATCAACATTGAAACCAGCACTATTAAAGTAAGTAAGTATCCATTGATCGTGATAAATGCTAATGAGAATCGGACATTTCAGTTTGTTACTTGATATAATGATTTCAACATTAAACAAAAACATATTACAAAGTTACTAATTTACTAAGACTTTCCTAAACACTAACTTATTACAATAAATATAAATCAGTCAAAAAGTTTCTAATATTTACATACAGTGTTTTTTCTAGAACGGTATTTTTGGGAAATAAAATCATTTATAGCATAAAATGGCATTTTTTTTTTTATATCAAGGTGGTACTTTTCGGTCGGCTAGAAACGCAAACACTCAGTCATAGGGATATAGTCTTCTAGTTTAATAAGATTTATTATCAACAATAGTTTTCATATCCGTCATCTCAAAAATCCATGATACCTCTTATGGCAGAACTGTTATTATAATCATACATAACAGCTACGTATACCATAAACTTTACTCCGTAACGTATCGTTTGGCATATACTCAAATAGCTTTATATTCTGGTCACAGTTCAAACCTAACCGATTGATGGGTTCTATTGTTGTGGTGGTAAAATGCTAAATTATGACATATGAAATTCTATTATTATAATAGCAGTTATGCAATTTAAAATTCAGATACACAAATCATAGATTAGTGGTGAGTAAAGCTAATAATTATGCTAAATCATTTTTAGTAACTATTTTTCAAAAGGGAATTATGTCAAATAAGTTTGAGAGCATCAATATTCTGCCAGATAAGAGGGAAAAAGATATTTTAGTTCATATGAGGTAATGTACTTTGAAAAGTTAATATGGCAAGCAAACCAATAGTACCACCTGAACATAAATATGGAATTGCTGTAAATTTCTCCTCAATCTTAAAAACTAGTCATTGTTGTTTCTTGAAGTCAAATTTACGAATCAATAACATTAAGAAAACACAAAATACCGTTCATTTTTTATTTATTTTTTTTCACATAAAGAAAACATTCGAAATTGGCACAACATTAAACATAACTTTCTGATTGACTTCCTAATAACTTTAATTTAAAAAAGTAAGACTACTATAAAGGTTATATTTCATTTATTGTGCTTTTAATTGACAATACCGTATGATATATGCAGGTATAATCTATTCCTAGATATAATTAAGAAGGGAAGGGATAATCTAAAAAAACGGTCAATGGCACAAATGATTAAGTGAGTTCCACAGTACAAGGATAAATGGTGAGATCCATAGACGTCTATACCTATTGTGTCCACATAGTACTGTCTATTTTAGTACGGGACGGAGGCAATGACTAATAGCGTCCTGTACAAAAAATGCAATATTACGCGGAAACGATATAGATATACTTATAAGTACTTATACACTGTGTCTTTGGCCGTTTCTCCGTGTGCCCTAGGAACGGACTATTGTTATATCTATTTTTGGCTAGTCAAATGAGCGGCTATATTTTATAGTTAAAAAATTCATGTGTTTGTACAAATTATTAACATGTTTTGCATTGTATGGTGAGAATTATTTGTAGCTTTATACAATTATAGAAAGTAATATCCACTATTTTGTTAAAATTGTGTGAAAATTGATATTAAAGTCTCTTTCCTTTAACTATTTTTCCTGAATTCTGAATTGAGAACATACTTTTTTTACATTGTGATGCAAAAAAATTATTAGGAAGTTCAGAATAAATACAGTTAACCACACATAATATCCTAAAATGAATGGGATAATATTTTAAGTACTAATCAGACTGGCTCAAAAATTTTAACGGCCAAAAAATCATCTCCTACAAAATGCTGATTTATAACTAAATACTAAATACTTAAATTAAAAACCGAAAGGCTAATATTACTCAGTCTTACATTTATATGGATAAAAATAACAATATAATAATGAGACATTTCCGTATGGCGATGATAAATAAAGTCTTAGCAAAAATATCGTAACATTGTTTAGCGTTTTATAATAGCTGATTAATAACTTGATTAATACCTACCCAGATAAATAAAATTGAGCATAGTATAAACATAAAAAAGGCTTTACTTATAAAAAAAGTTTTGCGTAGTGTAGTACTCTTCACTCGAACTGAAAATTATATTAGAGCGACGCAAGCAGAGCTATCGTGAAACGAAGCAAAAGTTAAGAGACATTGTTTATAAGTAACGCCTGATGTCTGGTTTACACTTAGTAGATTTTCAACTTAATTATTAGTGATTAAGTACGTGTAATCTATACTAATAATAACACGCCGATCTATACTAATAATAAAGCTGAAGAGTTTGTTTGAACTCTATAATCTCAGAAACGTCTGTAACTAATTGATTGTTTTGGGTTGAATAATCTATTTATCAAGGAAGGCATTATAACATCACTCTATCGGTCAGTTGCATAAACTTCCATTAAGGTTTAATGACGCCTTAAAGCTCTAATGAACGTCAAATATGTATGGATAATGTTGCTTTAAAGTAATGAAAATTTTAGTGGACGTTTGTGCAACAGGCTGTATGACTTATAGAAGTAGAGCAGTAATGGAAAATTTTACATAAACGGGAGAATTATTTATTTTTTGAAAGCTTTCCTTGCGTGCGCTTCGAAAACGATGACATTTACGCAATAATCATATATTGCGAAACTGATCCCCTTTAAAAGTTCTAAAAAAAGTCCGTGGCAGTATATGTCTATCTTATATCTTATCCCGTAAAAAGGGATGAAAATAGGAGTGGAAGATTATATAGTTACCATTGTTTACAATTCAATTTGTC